TAAAGATAAAAGAAATTTAAAAATAATTTTGTACAATAAAAACAAATCAGAAAAAACCACGTGCATTGGATCTCTTTCACTTATACACGCTGGCAGATATAATGGATCTGAGGTGAGGGAGTATCATGGACCCAAGCTAAGGCGCACACATACATCACAAGAAAGTCTAACCAATCAAAATAAAATAATTAGCTGAGTGTCATTGGTTGAAGAACGACATGTAGGTCATCTTCAACCTCCATCCTCCTACAAGTAGGGCAAATCTAAGATCCTTGAATATGTAAATTTACGTGTTCATAGTGGTACCAATAGATGCATCTACTTGAGACGATCACAACCATATGCTCGTGAAAAATTTATATAAAGCACAACGTAGTCGATTTGGAAAAAACTTGAGATGTTTAAAAATGTTAAAATAAAAAATCAGAAGCATCAAATGCATTGTTTCACCAAAATTGAGTTAAGAGCAAGCATCAGTGAACATCATAGACCATTCCAGCAATTTGAGTAAGAGGATTTGGTGTCTTAAACTACCTGAACAAAGTCAAATGAACTTTCTCTATAAATGGACTTGGCTAGCTTGATTCAGGGCACCTTAAGGCTTGATTCTTCTTCTGTTAGCTTCAGTGAAGTTCAAGGATGAAGGATCAATGAAGAAATTGGATTGAAAAGGGGAGAAAAGAGGAATTCAAAATCTCATAAAAGTGAGTTATGGAGGGAGTTTTACAGAGTGATTTTGGCTGTTCGAGCTTGAGAAAATGAGAGGAGTGAGGTCCTCTATTTATAGGGAAGCGAATGGTGCAAAGAATTAAGAGGAAATTTAAATTTTGGAGGGAAATTGGATCAAGCTCGAAAGTGAAAAAAGTGGGACCCCATGTGCATCAAAACTCAATCGATTCCTGCATTTTAATCCTTAATTCAACTTTGGGGGCTTTGTTAAACATGTTTAAATCAAAAACCCATTCTAAATTGGTGATTAGAAGCCATATTATGAATATTAAATCGTGACTTTGGAGAAAACTTCAGTTTCAAGGTACCATCTTTGAATCCATGGGGTTCACAGCTCAAGGAGTCTTAGGGCATGATTCTTGAAGCATTTGAAAGATAAGGTCACAAAATTTACAATGTGAAAAGAGTGAGATCAATTGGGTGCTTGAGCTAAAATCTGTGATGAGTCAAAGTTGAGAAAAAGATGCTGACTAGTTGTACTTAGAAAAATTCTAAGTTTTTCTTCAAAAGTGACCTATACGTTTTTGAGTTCAAACAAGGCATTCCTCCAAGATTGAGCTTTGATCATTGATTCTAGATTGAAGTAGAATTATCAAAGAGAATTGTGAAACTTGAATCACTCAAAAATACCAAGTATTGAAAAAGTTATAGCCTCGTAAAATTTGTGAAAATTCATGAGGTGACCCATAATCTTTTGAATTCTTAGGACATCTTTAACTCATTTTAAAGCTTTGCAAATAAAAGAAGAGTTGAATTTCACTTCCTTAAGATCAATGGGGAAAAATCATGGGCTCAAGGAGATAAAAATTGAACAAGTTATGATCTTTTCAAATTACATAAGGAAATTTGATGGCCTATCTAGAAGACTTGTAATATTTCTTCATGATTAGGCATCTTCCACAAAACATTTTCTTGAAACTCTTGAAGGGATTAGTTGATAACCCTTTAAAGAGAGGCATGTATTTGGATTTACTCAAAAATCTCAAAATATGAGCAATATATAGCCCTTAGAAGTTCAAAACCCTAGCTCTTCAAGCACCAAAATGACTTGGAAACCCTTTTCAATTTTGACAAACTTTCTTGCACAATAACTTTTTATATGTGAATAGAGGTTGTTGTGAATGATAATAAGAACCCATAGCAACAATAACCACCTACAAATATTAAGGATTGAGATATTTATGTACTTGTGATCAAAGAATCAAGAATTTGTCCAATTAGGTCAAACTTCTTCAATCAACCCTTGCATCTTTTAACTTTCTTTGAAAAATTGAGGCATGATAATCATAGTAGACATTGTCATGATATTAATTTAAAGAATATTTAATGATAAGGCTTGAATCTCAATGAAGTTTTTTTGAAGGAGGCATGGAAATAAACTCATGAACCTATAGATCAACCTGATGAAATGTGTTGTGCTTTCACCTATATCATCATCAATTAGAGAAAACATTTATTGCATTTGTTAGTTAAAAGTTAATCAATACAAAACATATATGTCCACAATATACAAATCAAGGTTCTTGGTGATTCCTCATGAGCAAACCTAAGGACAGAGAGAAGAACCAAACCCTAGTGTCATCTTGTTGTGATTGAGTTGATATGAGATGATAGAGGAATCTTAAGGGCAAAAATTAGCGTCCAACAGCTGCCCTTATTTAAGTGCCTTCTATCCGGAGATGCGAAGGTCAAATCTTCGTGTCGACGCTATTGAAGATACTTAAATATAAAATAAGCCCTATTTTTTGCCCTAAGATGACATGCAATGTTTATGATTGTGCATGCAAACAAACAAATCCAAAGGTGACACTGGACACCACTGGGGAGCAGAAAATAAAGGACTAAAAGAAGGTCCAGCCAGGAAAATAAATCACTAGTGAACAGAAGACTCGACTCTATTGGGGTAAAGCCTAAGGAGGATATAAAGCAACATCAACTCAAATATCGAGGGGAGAAAGTAAAGGATAATGGTGATCAATAGATAACTGTAAACTATCCACTCAATGAGAATATAGAAAAAATGGTAACGTCAACCCACAGGGGGAAAGAAATAGTAGGATAATACAAGCAAAAATCCAATATTAGGGTATGTGTAATACGGTGGGAGAATTGACTTGGGTGTTTTACGTTTTATCGCAAATGTTACGGATATCAAGAGTCGTCATCGACTTTCTTTATCCAATAAAGAAAAGGGTGAAAAGAATAGGAAAGACCTTTTGAGAATTTTCTTGAGTTCGGGGGGTAGGTTATGAAAAGGCAAGGTGTTAGCACCATTTTCATTTGTAGTTATCTACGGGCTCTTAATTGCTAGCTCACTTTGTAATGCTTTGTGTTTTATGTAAGTTTGAAAATATTTTGAAAACGCCTTTGTTAGGGAAACTTTGCAATAATTCTCGTATCGTTGAGAATGTATACAAAGTGTTGGTTTTGAAAATATTTGTTGAAATGGAGTGTTTGGAAAGATGTTTTGAAGATGCCAACGTAGAGAAATTTTGTAATGATTCTCGTATCGTTGAGAATGTATACAAAATGTTTGTTTTAATGAGTGTTTTGAAGATAGTTGACTTGAAAGAGTGAAGTGTGAAAATAGTTTTAGTTTGTGAGCAAACAATTACGAGCAATCTACCTACTCAAAAAGGCTATGTTCTTTTCCTCCTCCTTTAGATATTGATATTTTACCATTAGTTGATAAGGAGCCATATCATTGGATGTGAGGGACAGGCATGGGCCATCGTACAGTCATAAAAGGCAACATGTAAGATGTTTTAGAATTTGTCGTAAGGTACTAAGATCGTTTACCGAAGGCAACATCAAAGGGTCATCGAGGGACTACGATCTTTTAATTGAGGGTCTTTGCTAAAACATCTCACGTTCGAGGGACATGACTGTTTTTATTCGAGGCAACAAATGTGGTTTACCCTAGAGGTGCATGTGTGCAAAGTGTTTTATTTTCAAGTATTTTATCTTTGAATTAGGGTTTTGCTAGGTTTGATTTTAAGTCTTGTCATGTAAACCCTAATTACTAACAATAATAAGGAAAACGATAAATTATGGAATTTAAATGTCATATGCTATTACAAAGCTTTGGGAATGGGGGGGGGGGGTATAAGTTTGTAAATGAGGGGAAGAAAGCAATAAACCCTAATTATATATTACAAGCCATTTACATAATAATGCGAAATAATAAAATGCACAAGAATGTAAAGAGAAAAGAAATTATTTTTGTGTGGTTTTTGATAGGAAATGTTTTAACCTAATTAAACTAATTAATTTTAATTACAAGAGAAGATAATTAAGTATTTAATCAAAACCTAATATCTAAGTTAATTGAATTTAAGAAAATAAAACCTAAGTCTAAATAATTTGTTTAGAAAATAATTTGAATATTAATGCCAATTTGGAAAAATATTTTAAAATATGGAAAATAAACGAAATCTAGCTCTAAATATAAACACAAATAAAATAAGTGTTTAAATTAAAACTTTTAATTTAATTATTTAAGAAAATATATCTTTTTGTATTTTTGATTAAATAAAAAATAAATAAATAAATATAAAAAGTATAATAAATAGTTGGGTATGGGTGTTAGAAAGTAAAATGGGGGTTAAAAATCATTTTTGTCAGGTCCAATATGGTTTTATTTTGAAATCAGAAAAAACAATAAAAATAAAAGAGATGTAGGCCTGCGCATGATATAGAAAATTGGGGGTGTATGAAAGAAAATCAGTCAAGGCCAATTAAGAAAAGTTTAGAGCCTGTTGATCATGTGGGGGTGGCCTTCTGAGGTACATCATGGTCATGCGTCAGAATGCGCTTGATTTGATTCACTACGCAAAAGATAAGTTTTAGCAGCACATAAAAGAAAGCACTTTTGGAAAAAAGCGCTGCTGTAGGTTTTAAAAAAAACCGCTTAAAAAAGCGCTTTCAAAGGGTTCCTTAAGAAAGCGCTTTTCAAAAGCGTTTCTAAAGGTCACCCTTAGAAAGCGCTTTTTGGGAAGCGCTGCTAAAGCTGGCCTTTCAGAGGGTACCTTAAGAAAGCGCTTTTCAAAAGCGCTGCTAAAGGTCAGCCTTAGAAAGCGCTTTTCCAAAGCGCTGCTAAAGCTGGACTTTAGAAAGCGCATTTAAAAGCGCTGTTATAGGATATGCTACAAAAGCGCTTTTTGATTGAAAAGTGTTGTTATAGATGACCTTTAGAAAGCACTTTTAAAAGAGCTTTCATAGGTAGTTTTATAATAAATATCAAAACAAAACATGGTGTGAGCATTGTAACAATGCAAGTCTTTCCCAATTCTTATCTCTTCACTTTTCCTAAACCCTTAAACCCCCCTCTCCACTTTTCCACTTCCACTATAGTCCTCCGCCTCTACTCTTCCGAAAACCACCACCCTCCACCGTTGCAAAGTCCTTCTCCTCCGACGAGTTCCCCATCGACGAGACCTTCCTCCAGACTTTCGGCCCCAATAGCAAGGAATCCGAGGATGAAGCTCGAAAGCACAACTGGATCGAACGCGGGTGGGCTCCCTGGGATGAAATCCTCACTCCCAAAGCCCAATTCGCGCGTCACAGTCTCAACGAAGGTGAAGAGGTTCCTCTCAGTTCGTCGGAGTCCATCGAAGCGTTCAGAATGTTGAACCCTAGGTACCGTAAGAAGAAAATTGAAGAAATGGGATTGACGGAAGAGGAGTATTTGGCGAAGCAGTTTGAAATCAAGGGAGAGATGCCGGAGCCGTTGGAGATGAAAGCTCAGATAAGATGAAGAAACCTCCTTTTAACAGATTCTCAATTAATGATCTTTAATCTTATTCTCACACTGTTTCTGAAATAATGGTTCTTTTCAAGCTCAACAATGTTGTTTTGAAAATATTCAGGAAATTGTAAGTGCTGGAGGCAGTACAGTATGGGGGAGTCCTGCAGATGTAGGAAGTGTTGTAGGAGGGGAAGCATTTGATGTGGTTTTGGACAACAATGGCAAGGATCTTGATGCTTCGAGGTTCGTTGTATCAATTCTTGTTAACTTGTGTTCATTGCTTCACTTATTATCTTGTTATCTTGTTATGTCATGCATGGCACCAACTCTTAGATCAAAGACATGTCTGGTGTTCGACACTTACAGAACACAAACATAAGTTTATAATTCTCGTGTGTTAATGTTTGTTATGCCAATGTTTCATATTGCCAACAACATACTGCAATACTATTAAAGAAACATAAACTTTTCAGACATTGTAATTGTTATCTCTAAGCCAGACATCTTAATCTCGATCGTTCCTTGTAGGCCGGTGATAGATTGGGCCAAGAGTGCAGGTGCCAAGCAATTCTTGTTCATCAGTAGTGCCGGAATCTACAAACCAACGGATGAACCTCCTCATGTTGAAGGGGTGTGTTAAATATTCCTAATATCGCTTTTCTAAAATCACTATGCTGATAACAATTGTTACAGTCTAAAGTTTGAAAACCACTGTGGAGCAGGATGCTGTCAAAACAGATGCTGGTCATGTTGGAGTTGAGAAATACATTGAAGAAACTTTTGACAGTTGGGCAGTATTTAGGCCACAGTATATGTTAGGGTCTGGAAAATGCAACTAGCATTCATGATTTTTTTTTGCTTCGGTTTATGTGGATTGTTAATGCTAACTTTGATATGAATGTGACAGCTAGACCAAGATTATTACCCTGGTAGGAGGAAAAGAGGCAAGGACTAAAAAGAGGGCATGGTAGGATTGCAATTTTTTTATGTGTGTTTCATTGGAATATTAGAAAGTAAAGATATTCTTGTGCTAACTTTTATTTAATTGTTTCATGTTTCTTACAGTACGAGTTACCATTCTATTATCCTGGTCAAGTAAGCTACTCATCAATTCTTAAGTCATATGCCTTATGGATTATATTGTATTGTTGTTGTGAAGAAACTGATTTCATATGGCAGGCATGGGATAGTCTTCGGTAGACATGTTTAGTGATTTTTTCAGTAATGACGATGTAAAATTTGTATTTTATAATTGTATAATTTGGAATATTTGTTTAAGAAAACTAAGAATAGCTGATTTTACCCTTTAATTACAGCATCACGTTGTCACCTTTTTTTCTTTCTTTTTTGGTTTTGTTCAGTTTTAATGTTTCTAATTGGACAACTCTATTTATAACCCAATAGATGATCCTATTTTATTTGCATCCATATAATTAAAATCAGTCTTTTTTCTGTATCAAGAAAAACGCTGCCTTGGGTAACCTATGAAAGCGCTTTTTCACAAAAAGCGTTGTCTAAGGTAAACATATGACAACGCTTTTCCAGGAAAATGCGCTGCTAAAAGACCACCTATGAAAGCGCTTTTCCAGGAAAAAGCGTTGCTAAAAGCCTACCTAAGACAACGCTTTTCCAGAAAAAAGCGCTGCTAAAAGAAAACTTATGAGAGCGCTTTTCCAGAAAAAAAACGCTACCTTAGGTAGACCTATGAAAGCGCTTCTCATTAAACAAAAAGCGCTGCTAAAACCTATAGCAGCGCCACCTTAGAAAGCGCTTTTAAAGGCAAAAAAAATCGCTTTTGTAACTTATTTTTGGCGTAGTGATTGCATGGCAGGTCTGATGGTGTGGATGAGAGGCTCATGATAGGCGCACATTCTTGGCTTGTATTGAATATGCAAGGAAATAATATGAAAAAACCAAAACGGTACCATTGGGGCTCGAACCCAGTTCTCTATTGATCAATGCCTTAGCGTGCGCTTCTCTGCCACTAGGGTGGCTGTTTCATCTGTTTATAATACAACATCAACTAAATATAAAATAAACTCATTTTTGAACATGACTTCATCCCTAACCTCGCACCAGTCACCATTGTCACATTTTTTAATTTCTAATCTTGCTCATTTCTCAACCATTTTCAAAAGTGTAAACATGAAACTTGCTCCATTTTCATCACAGATTCGACCATGTAAACAACTTAAACTATAAATCAAAGATGAGCATGAATTTTGTTTGGTACCAAATAAAAACCTAATTTTATGAAAGTTCAACTTCAAAATTCGCATCGCTCAGGAAACATAAATGAAAACTAAAGGCATGGTTAGCTTCAGAGCAATGATGTCTACATTTTATCTTCACAATGAAACCATTAATGATGCTTGTATAAGGAGTTCAAAGTTGATAAAACTTACCTCAAAACTGGAAATCGTGTTTGGAGTTTGAGCACTCTTGGAGGTGTTGTGATGATATGGATAGCTTCACTGAACTCCTAGGAAGTTATTGCAATGCTTACTTTGAGCTGAAAGTGCTTGAATCTTTCTGGAGAAGTCAAGTTGCAGGTTTGATTTTTTTGAAATGGAGGATGGTGCAAATGTTGTTGCAGTTGTGTAGCAAGGTCTTAGATAGTTTCTAAGTGAGGTATGGAAGCTTTGTGATTGATTTAAAGTGAAAACGCACGAGTGAATTGTGAGTTTGAAGTTCAAGGTCATAAATGACAAGTTATGGAGGTTTTGATGCAAATTCTAGTTTGAGGGAGTATGAGGGGGTTAGATGGCTCTTGATGTCGTGTGTTAGCTTGCAAATAACTTCTCTATTTATATAGAAAAGGTTAGGAAGGTTGAGAAGGCTCTATTCACAAAGTCACATGTTATGGCTAAGTTAGATTGCACATGAAGCAATCTTGAAAATCATGGTTTCAATGTGAAGTACAAGCATGGTCTGAGTAGTTAGAGGCGCTAGATATGTTTCTTCTAGCTTTAACATTATGTATATTCAGAAGAAACAAGTTCAAGCCTCAAGGAGGGTGGACTTTATGATTAAAGCCACTTTTCAAAAATGGAAGTCTTGACTTTCTTCCCTAAATGGAAAAATCACTTGGACAATGACTCAAATGCTTGGACAATGGCTCAATCAGTTGTGTAAACATTTAATTATTGAGTGATTTTCAAGTTTGAAGGCCTGCAAAGCAATATTATGCAGAATGCTTGAAGATTGGGTTATAAGGTTCATCACAAAATGACCTAAAATACAAGTTTGTGATGCCATCTTCTCCTCTTCGAAACTTCTAGCTCAAGCATGATATCTTCAAGTTATTAGACATTTTGGAAAGCTTGAAAAATTGTCTACAACATTCATGTTTACCACTTTGGCTTAATCAACTTGGAACTTGATGAAAATTGGCCAAGAAGTTAGGACAAAAATTTGCCTAAACTTGCTAAAACTTTCACTAAGTGTTTTGTAAAAATGTGATGACTTCATGAGCCTATATCTTCAAATTCAAGCATTTTTTGGACATCAACCCTAAGGTAAAAAGTTGTAGAATTAATCAATATCTACGACTTTCATGTTGAAAGTTTTCCTTGAATCATCTTGCATCTTGGGGAAAAATTGTCATGAAGTAGTAAAATTATCAATTTAAAAAACAATTATAATTTTTCTAAGTAATGAAAATATTGACTTTTGTTGACTTTTCTTGAATTTCTTGATTCCTGATGACCATGTTTGATATTTTTGAATGTCTTGATGAATTTTAATTTTTGAAATTCAATGTTGACCAAAAAGTCAAAGTTTGACTTTTTGTGTATCAGTTGACTTTTCATCAGTTGATCCAAATTTCAACTATCAATCCTTTGATCTTGAGAAATGATTTGAGCCAAGAAATTAGGTAAATATATTTTGTTTGATTCCTTGAGATCATGCTTCAAGCCATTAGGTCATGTACTAGGTCAAAAGTCAATGATCAGTCATTCTTAGTAAAAACCCTCATTTTGACAATTTTGCCACTTTGATGATTTGAATGCTTTCATTGAGGAATCATGATCAAACCTTTGTCAATTGATAAATATCACTTCAAAATGTTTATGTTGGCCACAAATCATGAAGTTTGACTGTATGTTTACCACATTTGACTTTTTTCCCAATACAACTGATTTTCAGTCATATGAGCAATTGACTGAGCAAATTTATGGTGCAAGACTTGAAACTTGGTATGAGTAATCTTGGAGACCTATAATGAACCATGAAATTAATTTGAGGCATCAAAAGTCCAATTGTCCTTGAGAAAACCAAAACCCTAACTTGTGGACTCAGTGCTTTAGGAGGTGAGCTTGTCTGATCAAACTCTTGAGAACCCTTGAGCATTTGAGATCTTTGGTAAGAAATGTTTTGAGGAAAAGGGAGAGAAAATTTTGGGGTACAACAGTTGCCCCTGTTCAATCTTCTTAAACCTGAAGAGTTAGATTGATATGTTCTCCATTCGTGACTTGAAGGTGGAAGATGAGTAGAAACTTAAGTGCCCAGAAATTTGCACTCGCTTGTGCACGAATTAAAACTGTTGGTTGATTATATCGGGAATGGGCTTAAAGATGAAATTTGGAGAGGTTACAGAGAGTCATCGAGATGGGCTTACAGATGCCATCCAATGTAACTGTTGATGGAAATATCAGAATGAGTCTATGCTCGACTATATCTGAAGAGTTCTTTCCAGAATGAACCTCTGGAAAGGTATTTGAGTATACGCTTGTCATATAGATAGTCACCCCGTCCTGTTTTGGGAATTGATCTATAATCAAATTTGTTAGTAAAACCATTGGTAATAAAGATAGTCTCCATGTCCTGTTTCGGGAATTGATCTTTATCTGACTAAAATGAAAGAAAGATAGTTTCCCCGTCCTGTTTAGGGAGTTAATCTTCAATTTGTTCATGTAGATAGTCGCCCTGTCCTGTTTCGGGAATTTATCTAAAGTTAGTTTTGTTGGTAAACCTGTCTTGTTTCAAGAGTTCATACCATTGGTGACAAATATAGTCGCCCCGTTCTGTTTCAGGAATTGATCTTTATCTGACCAAAGAGAAAGAAAGATAGTTTCCCCATCCTGTTTCAGGAGTAAATCTTCAATTTGTTCGTGTAGATAGTCGCCCTGTCCTGTTTCGGGAATTGATCTACAATCAGTTTTGTTGGTAAACTCATCTTGTTTCGGGAGTTCATACCGTTGGTGTTGTACCCCAAAATTTACCCTCTCATTTTTCAAGTATTTTCTCACAAGATCTCCTTTGGTTCAAGACTGCACTAGGGTTGATTAGCTTAAGACACCTCCTCAAGCTTTGATGACTGAAATTAGGGTTTAAGATTGCACAAGGATAATTGAACTTTTAATGCCTCATATGACTTTTACGGATCATTATGGACCTTCAAGATTTATCATGTCAAGTTTCAAGTCTTGGATCACATTTTTGCTCAGTCAATTGATCAATTGACCTAAAAATCAGCTGTATTGGGGAAAAAGTCAATTGTGGTCAATTTATAGTCAAACTTCATAATTTTTTATCCATATCAACATTTTGAACTCCTATATGTCATTTTATCAAGTTTTAAACACAATTCCTCAATAAATTTGATCAGATCATCAAAATGGTCAAAATTAGGGTTTTGACTAAGAAAGGGCAATTTCTGATTTTTGACCTAGCAAATGGTTAATTGGTTTGAGACATGATATAAAGGTTTCAAATGAATCATTTTGACCTAGAAAATGGTTAATTGGTTTGAGACATGATATAAATGTTTCAAATGAATCATTTTGACCTAATGTTATGACTCAAAACTTCCCTCAAGATCAATTGATTGATAGTT